TTTTTTTTTTCAAAAGTTTGCTAGAAGCACAATAAAGGCCAAAAGCTAAGTGCATTGAAGCATGGCCTTCACCTTGCTGTCTCAGCGCTTCACTACAAGCACCAGGGTGCTAGGCTATACGAATCATTGACCATGCACTGTCTTGAAGAGGGCAAAACTAATATAGTTGGCAAAGTGATATATTAATCATCAAAGAATCAGTATAAATGAATAACATAGTGATTAGAAATAGAAAACTGGGAATTCAGAATTAAGAATTAAGAAAAGTATACATTAAATAATGAAGAACCTAAAGCTGATATGCATTTAAATTAGAAATTAATTAAGGTTTTCGAACTAGAATGGCATGAGTTTTATTCCATGCACTTAATTGAAGCTTTCCGATTCTTTTGTTCCCATAAGTTATTCTAGTTTCTCTGTAGCGATTTGGCCTTCCATGATATGTGTATTTTATTGCCTTTCTTCCTTCATTTGACAAAAACCCACTCTTTAGTTGCACTTAAATCCTCAGTAAACTTCGGCACTTTTTCTAATCTTTTTTGCCTTGGAGAACACAGTCGCATTCATGCAGTTTCTTCACCAGGATTCCAGGATTCTTGAGCATTGTGCAGATTCACACATAAAACGATCCTGCAAGATATGTCAACCCATACCTTCACTGTCACGAGAAACTTCAGCAAAGCACACGTCGCCAGCTTTCCGCATATGATCCTGACACACTTCCAGCAGGTTACTGCAATTGCTACACATACGAACCATCAAAAGCAAATATCTTAGCCATTTCACTTACCTTCAAATCTTGCCAAGAAGCAGAAGATGGAAGACCTCGAACAATAACTGTATATGTATGACAAGAAAAAGTTAAGAGACATCTACATCATCAGGGACAATTACATCTACAGCATTTAAGACAGGAAACTTCATGAGACATCCAAACAAGTTATAGCGGAACCTCGGTAATCAGAATGCCGAGAAACACCATAACGCCCTCCACCACCACTGCTGCCATAGCTGCCTCGGCGATCACTTGAAGATGATGGCCCTCTTCCTCCATGAGCAAGCTCAACCTATATCATGTATCAACCACGTGCATGCTCATATTTCCTACTTAGGTCTTTGTATCTATGAATATGAGAGAACCAAGTAAGAATTGTTCTTACCCTCAGGCGACAGCCATCAAAGTTGTAACCATCTCTACCCCTGATGGCATCTTCTGCATCTCGAGAACTTTCAAACTAAAGAATAGAAAACAGAAAGGAAATCACAGACAATCAGCAAACAAAGGCAGTAAATGACAACAGCAATTCAACCCTCAAACTACAGAAGACCATATATATGTATATATACCAAATAAAAATACCTCCACAAAGGAAAAGCAAGGAGGGCGAGGTGGAATCTTCAACTCAATATCCAATATACGACCATACTGCAAAAGAGAGAATATCTAAAATCAGGGAGCAGCTTTTTAAGTTTATATCGTGTTAGCAAGAATATATGCTAAACCAGCTCTACTTTCCAAGACAAGACTGAATGCTTCCAAATCAATGCCTCCAAACTGTTTACTCCCTATTGGGTAAATAGTATACTGGTGGTATTGACCACTAATGTCTAGCTTATAGTACCAAGTAGGGAAGAAAGCACTCAGCCTCACACAGGAAAAAAAGGACGATACAGTGTAGGATATCAAAGAAGAAGCATCCTCACCATCATGTTTCAACCATAACTTAATATGGGTACTGGTACTGCCACGGCTTAAGAGACTCACTTACACTTTCTCTTGCATAATTTTGCAAACAAGAAGCAAATCAAAATTTATCTATTTATACAGATGACATTGCTAAAATGAAATTCAGCGTACATCTCATGATGCATTCGTGTGCAATATAATCTCAAGCAAAGGCCATTGTATTTTTTTAACAAGTATAATTTATGCACCAAATGTTGAATCTAGAGCCCTATGAGTAAGTACAATTGATGACTACATTCTCCCAAAAAAAAGTCTTTGTAGCTGATAGTGTCTAAATAGGTGGAAGATGACCAACCTTATAGAATAGATCTTCAACTTCCCATTCCTTTATATCTGCTGGAAGGTTGCCAACATAAATCGTGCGTGAAAAACGGCCACTCATTCTCAGCAATGAAGGAAGAATTCGCTACAACACTGCACGAAGATGTAACTTATAAACAGTTGAACTTCCAGTTAACACTGATGAGAAATAATTAAAACAATTACAATGCAAACTTCTATCATTCTGTATTTGACTTGACAATAACAGATTCAAGCAAAAAAATTATGAAGCAAACCAAGAGAGCAATCCTCCAATTGAGCTGTGCTCCACAAGCTCCATTGCCTAAATGCTCCATGATGCTCCAAAAATAACAGATTCATACAGAAAAATAATGAAACCAAGAGAGCAATCCCCCAGTTAAACTAAGCTCCACAAGCTCCATTGCTCATATGCTCCAAGATGCTCCAAAGCAATAATTATTCGAATTAATATTTGATCTCCTCATCCACTCAATAACTATTGCAGATGATAGCTCTTCTGAGAGTGAGGAAGAACTTCCAACTATACATAAAAACCATAAACTCCACCCTGACTTGTCCCACTCCCCAAATACATCCCTAGGTATGATTCCAAAGCTCATTTTTGTCCAAGCGCTTGAAATCTATCATAAAGAAAGCATTTGTGTCATAAGATAAGGTAAGATCGCGATATACTTTATGCATTTTACCTTTTCTCAATTTACTTTTAAGACCTGAGAATCATCTTACAAGACATGCAATATAGCCTTTCCTATTTAAGTTAACAGAAAACCAGTTTCCTGCAAATGATGTCATTTCCTGAACCCTAAGATAAGACACGAAAAAGGATTTCTAAGTAACCAGTGCTCAGTAAAACATTGCTTGAACTCTGGAGACAACTTCCAAGATAAGAATAGGATATGATTAAAATATTGTCCGTGGAAAAGGATTCACTTTGGCAACAATTAAATCGTCTCCAATATTTGGTTGGGTCTAAAAATAGAGTATGTATGGGAATCGTAAAAGATGAAAGACAGTGCTTTGGTGATAACTTTTAAAGCTAAAGTTGACAAAAATGTTTAATAGTTGGCTGAAGCAAGTCATATAGTAAGATCCAGAATATTGCACTTCATCAAAAAAAAAAAAGTTCGGAATATCCTCAAAGGAAAATGACTAACTAATAGTTACTTTAACCCTTTGCTGGAGAATTTTTCAACAAACACACCACTGATGTTCAAGAATTTTCTTATTACACAAGTAAAAAAATTCTTTTCATGACATCTTGCAATTCCAGCATTCCAATTATTTCCTGACAGTCTCACCCTTTGGAGCAAGTGTGATGTTATGGTTGAAGCTCTCTGCAGGGGAAATATGCTACTATTTGAAAATAGAACTTCACTGTTACTTATTACAAGTAACATCACCTCCAGAGGTAAGACCAACAAAAATTCGAGCTTTTCTAGCAAAAGACGATAAATGCTGAAAAACAACACCAAAAACAAAACAAACACTAGGTATAAATGTATGAACCCATTCTGCCACGAACATAAATCAATTCGCAACACAAGGAAGGCAGGAAATACAGAAATATCAGAAGCCGATGAGCTTTTTAATAGATTCGTAACTAGGGTTTCTTCCCGTCTCGACCCTTTTCAGGGAATGGTGATCAACAATGTACCCTAAAAGTAGAACAGTGTGGTGAGGAAGAATCCATTAGATATTACCTGGATTATCAATTAGGGTTTGATGAAATTGGCGATCAGCTTCTTCTCCGCTTCTTACCGGGTTCTCTCCTGGTGCTGCACTCGTGACTCGTCGTTAGAGCTCTGATTTTAGGGCTTTTTGGGCTATAAAGCGCACGGTGTAGATTTATGAGCTTTTTTCACTTTTTAGCCCGCTTCAAAAATTATTTACGTTCTACGGTCGAAAAAGTGTATAAAATCTGCATAATTTTTGTATATAACATACAAAATATATAAATATACAAAAACTATATACCTTTTCGGTTATTAGTTTGAGAGCGGCTATACAGTATCATTTTTCCTATATTTATTACCTCCATTTTGCTTTATTTTCTTTTAACCCATTCTGTTTGGCTGTTTACACGTTTTCTCTTTTCGTACTTAAGGGCTTGTTTGGTTATCGGGATTAGGATTATAAACGAAATAAAATTTAAAATTTTAGTATTTATTTGATGTTTAGTTAATGAGTATTAACTAATATAGATATAAATTTTTATCAAAATGATGGTGGCCAACCCATAGCGAATGTGGGATAATAATTTTAGAATTATAATTCTAGGATTATTAATCCCTAAATAATGTTCTTTAGAGACAATGACCCCTCAAAATTTTGATTGAGGAAAGGGTCATAGTCGTGTTATATATGAGATATACTTAACTATAGCTAACATTTCATATGGGATATACCCATGGTGAAGTTGTTGAGATTGCACGCTTGCAACGAGGTCTTATAAAACGCAAAATGTATTAAGGATATTAATGAAATATAACCCCTTCGATAAATAAAGCGAGTTATGTTGATCCTTAAAGAGGTAAAGTCTAACCCATATTGAAATAAAGGAGATATTAATTTAAAAATAAATTTTTATATGCAAAAAATTATAGGTTGTGTATCAAATTAGCAGGTTATTGATGTAAGGATTAGTAATAAAAAATTATAATAAATGATTACTAGTGCATGAATTGTATTGCATGGATTAAAATAGGCATTTTGTTTACATTTTAAATTTTTATTTAATACATCGAGGTTATTTTGGTTATTTTAATACGTATATTACTAAGCCGTTTTCTTTGTCAAAAGGGAATATATATTAAAAACTACATTACAGAGTGTTGGTTAGCTGGGGGGTATTGCAATCCCCCTAAAACAGACATGTTCTTCTGGTGTATCAATATTACATGTCAAAAAATATCTAGTTACTTCAGTTCCTAGGATGTCTGCCCAAAATAATTCATTTACAAACACCGGGGGAACTACTAGCATGGTAGTTCTTCCAAAAAAATTCTATTTTTGCTTCCTCTTTTGCCAATGCATCGGTCACTCTATTCTGCTCCTTGTAACTGTGTCTCACTACTACTCTGGTCATCCTTTGGATCAACAACTTGCATTCACATATAATAGGATCATAAGTTATATTTCCAATGATTAGCAACCTTATTACCTCTGTTGAGTCTGTAGCTACTTCCAGTGGTATCCATCCATTTCGTTCTGCAATTTGGAGACCCTTTAGCAATGTAGTTAACTCTGTCACAATGTTGGTGGTATGTGGCATATTTTCCATATACCCTTGAACCCAATCCTCATTATTTGTCCTAAATACCCCACCAATTCTTCCAATGTCTGGCTTACCCTTAGCCGTCCCATCAGTGTTGAGTTTATAGTGCCTCCTCATGGGGGGCTCCTATTCAACTCTGGTAGGAAAAAGCTTCCTAATCACTCATTTGTGTGCTATTGTGTAGTGCTCAGTTGATTTGGTAATGGTGTTGTCAGTTGATATGGTATCTTTCTTATTATTAAACAGATTATAGTTCCTCGTTAGCCAAATGAGCCAGAAGCAGAAAGGGAGAATGGTTTCCCATGAGATAATGTTATTAAAGGACAGCTTCCTTAACTTTTTCCATGTGGTTGGCTATAACTTGGTTGAAAAAATAGGATTCAGCTGTTGGATTTTAATAGTTCCTTTTGATATTAGATCATGCCAGAATTGGGTTACATTGGGGAATTCAAAGAAGATGTGATCCCTACTTTCAAGAATGGTATAGCAGAAACGACATGCAGGGTTGCAATTGATTCCAAGTATGTGCAGGAAAGCACTAGTGGGAGCATGTCCTGTGCAAGCAGCCGGATGAAGGTTTTTATTTTGTTTGAAACTTTTAACCTCCACATCCAGCTGAAGTTACCCCCTTCCTCATTCATCATAGGCTTATTGTTGTTGCTAAGGAAGGTATAGGCTAATTTGGTGGTAAAGGAACCATTTTGAGTCAGCCCCCAAATTAGCATGTCTTCCTTAGCAAAGTTTGTAAGGATGAATGTGGATTTGATTAGGTTGGTTATATTCTCATGGAGGTTTATGGAGATGGATGGAGTATCCCAGTTTCCAGAATTGTAGATAGTGTCCACGTTGGTAGCAGTGTCATTTAGGGTAAGTGGACCCTCAATCATGTCCCTAAGGGCTAGATGATTGGGAATCCAGGCATCATTAAGGAAGCTCAACCTATTTTCTTTGAAGACCACCCATCTACTGGCCTTATTATTTGTATCCCAACCTTTGAGGATACATTGCCAGATTGGGGACTTGGGCTTCCTAGGGGTATGGTTTTAGTTACAATACTTGGATATTAGGACTCTAGCACATAGGCTAGAGGTGTTGTGGTAGATCCTCCAGGCCAGGCCAGCATGGGAGACTTTGTTCTTGCATTCAGCTTTCTATAATCCCAGCCCACCATGAGATTTCTGCTTAGTGATTTTGTCATAGTTGACCAAGTGCATTTTCTTCTTATTTGGTGTAGTACCCCAGATAAAATTTCTTTAAATTCTATCAATTTGGTTGGTAGTCTTGGTGGGCAGCTTGATGTATTGCATGACATGGCTTGGAATACTGCTAAAAGAGGCTTTAGCCAGGATGATTCTTTCAGTCATATTTAGGCAATTTGTTTTCCAGCCAGGAAACTTGGATTGCATATTATCTAATATGAACTGGAAATCACTATTGGAGGGTCTCTTGTGGAACATTAGAAACCCAGGTACTTACTAAAGGATATTGTAGCTTGAATGGAAAGAGTACTTATAAGGTTCCCCATAGTGTCAAGCTTTATGTTAGAGGAGAAAAGCACCCAAGACTTAGTGAGATTTATTTTTTAGCTAGAAGTTTCATAAAAAGACTACAGGATAGTGAAGATTGTGTTGCAGTTCCTGATGTTTGCCTTTGCAAACAAGGTAAGGCCATCAGCAAAGAAGATGTGGGATATCTTTGGGCTAGACCTACTAATACTGATGGGAAGCCATTGCTTTTCATGCACAACCCTATCAATGAGCATGGAGAGCCTTTCCATGCACATGAATAACAGGTATGGGGAGATGGGATCCATTTGCCTAATTTCCCTAAAAGGTTTGAAGGTGTCAGTCTTACCACTATTAATTAGGATGGAGATGTTAGATGAGCTAATACATGATAGGATTAACTTAGTTAGGCCAGGTGGGAAGTTGAAAGCCTGCAGAGTGTCTCGAATGAATAACCACTCCAGTCTGTCAAAGGCTTTTTCTAAGTTAATTTTGAGGATCACCTGAGCCTGATTCGTTCTCATTTTACCAAAGTGGGTGATGTATTCTTGAACTATGATGGTATTGTCTGAGGTCCTTCTGTTGGATAAAAAACTTGCATGGCTAGGGCCAATTATGTCAGGGAGGAGTGGCTTGATTCTATTAACAATGACCTTTGTGATGGTCTTATAGATGGTATTATAAAGCCCTACTGGTCTAGAGTTTTTGAGCATGATAGCTTGGGGACACTTGGGGATGAGGCAAAGTAGAGTCTGGTTCATGATTTCATCCATGAAGTGTGTGTCAAAGCAGGACCTACAAAAGTCTATCATTGATTTTCCCACAATGCTCCAGTATCTTTGATGGAAAAAAGGGTGTAGCCAATCTGGACCAGGAGCCTTAAAGGGTTTGAAAGAGAAGATAGCCAGTTTGATCTCACTATCCACTAGGGGCCTGTCCAAGCTTTCTCTTTGGCAGTTTGAGAAAGTATGGGTCATGTCTAGATGACTGGTAGTGTGTATGAGGGCTTGGGTGTGGTCAGAAGTGTAAAGGCTTCTGAAGAAGTGCATTATGGAGTTCTTAGTGTCTCCTTGGTCATAAATCCAGTTCTCACTGTCATCTTTGAGGGACAGTATCATGTTCCTCTTTCTCCTATTGAGGGTGAAGGTTGAAAAAACTTAGTGTTGGCATCACCTTCAGTTAGCCAATTGACCCTTGACTTGAGTTTTCAGAAATCTTCCTCATTCTGAGGATAGAGTCCAGATCTCTAATCAGATTACTTTCAAGATTCAGCAGGAAGTTGCTAAACTGGTAGTTGGGGGATTTTTGAATTCCAGCAATTCTGGCCAGGATCCTTCTCTTTTTGTGGAAGATATTGCCAAAGGTGTGCATGTTCCACTGGGTTACTAAGTTTTTTAAGGTGTTGGTTGATTGGATTAAGGGGGAGTTTGGGGTGAAGGCCTCAATGATGATACCAGGAAAGGATGGGTGGCTAGTCCACATGGATTAAAGCGTGAAAGGCCTATTAGTATTATTGACAATATCCTTCTTTAGCATTATTTGCACAGGTCAATGATCAGAGTGGGTCTTAGGGAGATAGTTTACGCAAGCCTCAGGATACTGAGAAATCCAGCAGTCATTAGCAAAATATCTGTCTATTCTTTCTAAAATTAGACTGCTCCTATTTTTATATCTTTTGTTGGTCCAAGTGTATTTACTACCTTGTATCTTAAGTCAACTAACTTTCATTCATTAAGGCAGTTCCAAAAGAGGTTGCTACAGTTTGGTTTAATGGGGTTGCCCCCAAATTTGTCCCCAGCCTTTAATGTTTCATTAAAGTCACCACCTACAAACTAATTTCCAGTATAACTTTTAGAGATAGTAACTAAATTATCCCATAATAGTTTCTTATCAGCTAATATAGTGCTAGCAAAGATGGCTAAAAATAACTAGGGAGTTTGGGAGGGGAGTACCTTCACTATGGCATGAATGCCTTGTGGAGTAGTGGACACCTCATCAAGCTGCACACAGTCTGCTTTATACATCATGACAATCCCACATGACAGACCCACAACTAGAGACTGGATGAGCATATCAAATTGCAAATCCTCAGTCAACTTCTTATGATCAACCATTTTTGTCTCTGGCAGAACCAGCGGTGCTGGTTTGTGCAGTTGAACCATGTCAAGGTAGTGTCTCCTAAACTCTACATTGTTTCCACTCCTAATATTCCATATGATGTAGTTCATTAGGGGTAGTTTCATAGCGGGGAACTGGATTCTGTGAGCTTTCTCCATCCCCTGGGGAGGCGTCATTGGTTTCTTCCGGTTCTTGCTTCTCATGTTCAGCACTGGGGTTAGGTTTAGAAGTGGCTTGATCACTCTTTGACTGTGGTGAGAGCCCAGACTCACTCCACATTTGGTCAAGGTCTTGGGATACATGAGCACTAGAATCTCGATGTTGTACACACTGAACTCTATCGCTCTGACAGAGTCCAGTAGAAGGGAGTCCGTGTGCAGAGGTCCATAACCCTCCCTCCATTTGCAAGGCATTTTCCCCTTTCAGAAGCTCTAGGACTCGGTTGATCTCCTTTATAATGTTCCCCAGTGGTGGAGACTGGCTTTTCTCTACTGGAGCAGAAGACGATAGTCTGTTAGGATTGGGGCTCGATAGTCGCAAGGTTGGAGACGTCGTCGGGTCCGATTGGGCATGGACCCCATTGGCTTATTGGTTTGGGACTGTACTTGGGCTAGGGTCTTGTGAGTTGGGATACTGGGGAATTTGGGGTGGGATTGTGTTTATTCATTGGGCCATTAGGCCGGGTGTAGTTACTTGTTTGTGCACTATTTGATTTTGAATTGTATTAAAAAGTTTTGGTTTCCAGAAATTTACTAGAATTTGCATCGAACATCTTTAACTGGATTTTTTGTGATTTTTGTGCATGATGTTGTTCATTTTCATTTCCTGCTCCATTGTTTCTTCCCTTTATGGGTTGGTGGTTTGGCTTCTTCTATCTTGGGAAGGTTACTGTCTTCCATCCATCATTATCTTCCCTTTTGGTGTGCATTTCTGAACATTCAGGGACTTCTTGTGATGGTGTTGGTGCAACTTTCTTGAACTTGCAATTTTTACGTGTGGCCAATCCTTCACATGTTGTACACAAAGTCCATTTACCTTCATAGATCACTGATTGTTTATGATCTCCTACGATGACTGTTGTTTCACCTGGGGTTTCAAGTGGGAATTGGATAGAGATGTGTGCATACCTTCCTCTTATTGTGGAGGATGTGCATGAACTAAATTTTAATAATTTGCCAAGTTTTCTCCCAACTTTTTCCAGTATTTCTTTATCATAAAATTCAGTTGGTAGTTGTGGCAGACGAATCCAAATGACTGTGGAAGATAATGTAGCTTCTTGTGGGACGAATTTTGATTCCCATTTACGTACTGATAGAAAATTCTCAGAAATGAACCATGGGCCTAGATATAATGCCTTGGACATATTTTCCTCTAGAACAAATTTGACAATGAAAAAGTCTCATCCTAGGTCAATCAAGATTAATTGTTCGGATGGTTTTCAGAGGTCAGTTAGTTTAGATCGGAGATAATGGTGAGGTATTCTACGACCAAAGA